GAAGTGGCCAGATTTGTGGCAGTCGGGTGACTGGTTTTTCCATCATGACAATGCCCCTGCTCACACAGACCTGTCTGTACGACAATTCTTGACCAAAAATGGTATGACCCCTGTTCCTCACCCTCCATACTCACCCGACCTTGCCCCGTGCGACTTTTTTTTGTTTCCTCGAATGAAAAGAGACATGAAAGGAAAGCGTTTTGCTGATGTTGCTGAGGTGAAGGAAAAAACGACGGAGGCGCTGTCAAGCATCTCAAAAGATGAATTTAGACAATGTTTTGAAAAATGGAATAAAAGACTAGACAAGTGTATTAGTGTAAGTGGAGAGTACTTTGAAGGGGATTGAAGGTTTGTGCTTAAAATTTGAATAAATAAGTTAAAAAAAAATAAGTTCGGTTTCTTTTGGGTACCCCCTCGTAGATGTCACAAACATGTTTATGGTGGTAAGTATGTTCTATTAACTAAAGAAACGGGAAACATATTTGAGTTAGTAATTCCTGGTCATCCACTATACAAACTGTAACGTGGTCAGCTGCACAATATATGGTTAGACTCAATAATTCTAGATGTTCTTTTATGGCTAGCTCATGATCTTATTCTTTTCACAATGGTAATGAAAGGAACAGGTCAGTCCTCAGCATACTGAAGGAGGATCTACAAGCATGTACTTAAATTTACCCACACAGTCACTTACCTTATAAAACAGCAAGGTATGTGACGGTTTTTGGCCTGCAACAGGCCTCTTATCTTCATAAATATCTACTTCAAAGTCATTTAACTTATTAATCCTGACAGTTCCTTCATCAGGCTTCCTTGTGCATTTGCGTTCCCGCTTCGCGGTATAATTCGTTTTGGAATTTTTAAGCTTCTTAATTCTAATAGCTCCTTTGTGGTGCTTGATTTTGTGTCTGACTTTCAGTTTTGTGCTACCTCTTTTTCGAATAAGCTTTATACGAACACCCATATTTGTAAACCTCACACACACATACACACGTGATACAAATTTCGCCAATAACTTCCAAAAACGCAAGCGCTACAGTTTACAGCGTTTACAGACACATGCAGACATAATCGTACACGGATCGTCATGCACACGAAACGCACATGGCCGCAGGATGTCCTCTACGGATCCGCAATGTACATGCCTCTTCTCATAGCCGACCGAACCGACCACGGTTTTCGTACTGAACTCTTGACTCTTTGACGTCTTTCACGCATATCTGTTATAGGGTTAGTACGTATGTGTGGGAACTATTGCCGAAGGCGAAACATAATAGAATTAAAAAGTTTTGACGGTCGTGTGAAAAATCGAAACAAATGTTGTATTATGGTGGCCAGAGATTTAACCAATACTTCTTTGTAAGGAAGTATATTAGGTTGTTTCAGCGTTGAAAATGACTGCTCAGAAAACAAGAATGCTAACGTAAGTTAGGTATATTGCTCGTGTGATAAACATTGTAGCGAAGTTTGTTTTCGCCCAATATTTTTAAACCAACAAAAATTAGTGTATAATGTAGACATATAAACAAGTGGCATATTTTAACCAAACGTTATGAAAGTTATGTAAAAATGTCAATTCTTTAAATGAAAAATATAGGAAGATGCAAAGTATCATAATTAGGGTTCCCATATGGCATCTGTTTGCGTTAGGAATATGCAGGATATTGTAGAGGAGTAACGTATGCAGTGTGATGTACAAAATAATAGTGAGTGCTGCTACTCTTTTATTTACCCAAATATGTTCAAGTAGCAAGCCCAACTGATCACTGTTTCTAGTAACATTTTTCATACTGTGCTAGTTTTATGTTTTTCGTATTGTTTTTCTTAATAACCCATGAGGGATTATTCTGTCATATGAATCACATCAGTACAATAGAACTGCTAAATTACGTAGGATTCTATGTATATATTAGGATTTGGATTTGAATTACTAAATGTAAATAACAGTCCATTCTAATCTCCCCATCATTCAAAATCAGTCTCTTATATTTTTTTTATTTACCATCACCATTCTAAATACAGATCATTTTAACTTACATAGTACAATTGGTCTCCAAATTATAGAGCTTTACTGCACCTGACAAGAAATATTTCTATTTTGATTGATAAACTAAGCTGATATTGTTACCCCCAAATGTATGAGGTAGAGGATTATAGCGTTGCAATCATATGCATAGTAAAAGGTACATAGAAGTGCTAAAAAAATATTGCTTTTGGCAAGGAACATAACATTGGCTCGTCTCTGGTCTGGGTTGAGCAGTGGGGTGAGAACATTTTCAGACTAATGCGGATGTAAGCAGTGTTAAGACAAGACACAAACACTGTCTTCATAAACCAATTGCTAACCTCTCATGCTTTCAGAAAAGCTAGGATCAACGTTTTTAGTAACCTGCCATCTGATCTCAAAGGTCTTATGAACGAAGAGGCACGATTTAAAATAACACTGAAACGATACTTAAATACACATTCATTCTACTCTGTTGATGAATACCTATTGTCTAGAAAATAACTTATGTATCTTTAAATAGCCTTGTATGTAGTCACTGTGTATTCTTGGTTTCACTTGTGTGAGAACTCCAGTGGGTCTGTACATATATGACATTCCACATCTTACAGTCATTTTGACTAACTTTGGATCCATGGAATGCAGTGCAATGCAATGTAATGTGCAGGCAGTTTATCTGAGGCACAGGAAAAATGATGATTAGGGAGTAAGTTCATGGAAGAACTTTAAAACTTGGTGAAACATTGAATAGGCTGTATTTAACTTATGTCTTGTACACAACACAATAGTGATGTTGTTCACATATTGTAATTATTTTTAATCACAGTGTCACTCTCACCATACACTGGACATAATGTTAATTGCTTAATTAAGTGACATATTTAAAGTATTAAGGTTTCATTAATTTTATGTCCTGTCATGCAAGTTGGCATGCTAACATTTGTGTTACAAATCATGTAAGCACAACAGGATGCTACAGTAAGTGTATATGAAACATCTGACCTTGCCCTGTCATGTAATTGAGGTCTGAATATACCAGTCTCAAATAAATGTAATGAGGGTTGATATGAATAAATCGAAACATTGGATTGCCTAAAGAATATTATTATTCTAATTGCTTGAGAGCTGTAGATAATATTGTCTTATTGTTCTGAGTGTTTGTAATACCAGTTTGTCTGAAAGTAGTTTTTTTTTTCTTGTTTCAAAGAATCGAGTAATTCTTCATTCTNAGTGTTTTTTTTTTTTTTTTTTTTTTTTTTTTTTTTTTTTAATTAATGCTCTTTCTTTTCATCCTCACTTCTGTCTTTTTTAGTATTTTTCCATTGTTGGTCCATTTCTCATAACTGCTGTCTATTGTTCTCATTGATGTTCTCACAGCTGTCTGTAATGCTTCATTGTGGTGGCTCACTGCAGAATGTGAAACATCTGTTTTCATCAGTATCTGGAATCTTTTTTCATGCAATTTGGTTGTTGAAATTGGCTTTATTACATCACTTACTTAAGGAGCTGAGCCTTCTTGAGGAGAAGCCAATTCTGCAGCTACTCAAGAATTTCCCAGCATTTTATGGAACCCGAAGGTTCATTACCGTGTTCACAAGAGCCCTCCACTGGTCCCTATCCTGACCCACATCAATCCAATCCATACCATCCCATCCTATCTCTCTAAGATCCATTATAATGTTGTCCACCCACCTACGCCTTGGTCTTTCAAGTGGACTCTTTCCTTCTGACCTTCCCACCAATATCCTATATGCATTCCTCTTCTCCCCCATTCGTGCTACATGACCTGCCCACCTCATCCTCCTTGACTTGATCATTCTAATTATACTTGGAGAAGAGTACAATTTATGAAGCTCCTCATTGTGGAGTTTACTCCAACCTCCTGTCACTTCATCTCTCTTCAGTCCAAATATTCTCATCAACACCCTCAGTCTATGTTCCTCCCTTAATGTCAGAGACCAAGTTTCACACCCATACAGAACCACCGGCAAAATTATAGTTTTTTATATTCTAATTTTTATCTTTCATATTTAATATATGGCATCTAATAGCATAAGCTTCTTCAAGACTATATCAGGTTCAATACTTCATAGAAATGCTGTTCAATATTACATACACATTATGTTTCAATGGCATCTTGCAGAGAGGTTCTAGAAAAATTGGTAGAATTGAAACACTATAAAATCTCTAATGTTAACGAAATACCACTTCTGAATGGTGTCCACTCAACCTGTCTGTACTCCAAAACGTTTTGTTGTGTTCTGTGAAGCAACTGTTGGACTGTAAAAAGGATCAGCAGGGTTAAAATGGAGGGTAAGTTTTACAGGAAGAGAATGTAATGGTCACTACACATTTTCTTTTCAGGCCCTTAATATTTCAAAATTTCCAGCAGTTAATACACTCATGAATAATCAAAGCGTCTACTATATGTATAATTTATTTCAGTGCTCAAGAGCTGGTCCAGTTGCGGGTAAAGGTGGACAAAGTTCTGCCCACAAAAGGAACCAAAGAATTTCAGCCTTCCAATTCTTGGCTTGAAAAGAAACAGATTCAAGCTGCCTTAAATGAAAGGAAAATTCTTCTTGAAGAAGAAAGAGTGGAAAGACTGTAAGAATCTCATTTAATGCAGTTCTTGGTGTTGTGATGTTAATTTTACATCAGGGGAACAGATTGTAGATGGTTGAGTTATCTTCCATATGATTATATTACTCACCTTTTTCATATGCAATAATTATGTTATTTTATATGTTACATGTCATACTTTTGTTTTTGGTAATTTTTTTCACATATATTCTACTCGGAGGTAACCAGTTAGAGACAAAAGGGGACTCTTCCACTTCAGCTGTTAAAAATTACTGAGTCACCTGTGTCACAAGATATGTTTATCATGTTTACACAAAATAACACTGTATCAGCACTAGGCTACTTCACTCTTTAGCTTTAATTATTTATATACTAGCAATAAAAATGTAATAAATTCCTCTGTTTTTAAATAAACATGCAAGAATTGTGAACTGAAATACAATGTTTGCTTTTGCTTTTATATGCATTTTCTGCAGCTGTATAAAAGTTTGGATTCATACATACATACATACATATTTATTTCGTTCCAGAGATCTACAATTGGCAGTGCTGCCTTGAGATATAGAACATGTCAATAAAAAGTACATTTAAAATGATAAATTGTTAAAAATTAAATATCCAAGACATTTAAAAAGGCCACATATAATTGTAGTACATTAACAGTTGTAGAACACAAACAAGTAACACATCAAACCAAATCACAGACACGACACCGAAACAAACAACGTCAAAAATCAGGTGCCATTCACAACAATTATAAACAAAAACAGACAGATAATATTATATTCTAGATGTGACAAATAATAGGCGCAATCTTTATCTATAGGAAGCACAATCATTCCTTGATTTCCATTCATAATACTCATGTAAGGAATAAAAAGAGCCCACCTGCAAAAATTTTTTTAGGGAATATTTGAATTTCTTAATGTCCTCTGACAAGCTTTTAATTCTACATGGCAAGTTGTTAAATATCCTAATCCCACTATAAAACACTCCCTTTTGCACTTTAGTCAGTTTACAGGTTGGATAATGTAAATCTAAACCCCGTCTAGTGTGCATGCCATGAATATCTGAATTTGTTACAAACTTGTCCATATTCTTAACCACAAAAACAGATATTGAGAAAATATATTGTGAATAGAATGGAAGAATGTTTAATGCTTTGAAAATTGGTCGACAAGAGTCCCTGTTACCCGCTCTCGTTATTATTCTAACTATTCTTTTTTGAATTATGAAAATTCATGCTGTTGACTGTTAAATAATTGAAGTTGTAACAGCTGTTGGTTGTTGGGAAAGAGTTCATCGTCACTTGATAGCCATAGTTACCTCATAAGAATTTCTTGTCATGTTACATTTCTGTCACATTCACTGCTGAATGGTAATGCGTAACTGCTGTAGGCTTCAGATTTTGGAGGAAGTCCCATGTTATATATGTGTGTGTGTGTGTGAAATACTCGAGTTTGAGTAGTTTGTGTGTTGTCCAGAACTATTGATGCAGTTTATATTATTTCACATTCGTATGTTATGACAGAGGAGCATTGACAAGAGCAGAGTGGGAACCAGAACTGAAAATTGCAAAAGTGACACATAAAGTGGGTCGACACTGGAAACAAATGGGTCATGAAGTTGGTGGAAAACTCCATCTGTTGCCAGAAGAAGCTTTATTTTTGTTGGAAACAGTGAGTATTTGCAAATTTAAGATACTGTGGATATCACAAAGCTCATCTAATGATTGTATGGTAACATGAAGTGATAATTAATATATCTCTATTGGAATATGCATACAATTTACCATTTTATATGCTCCCTTTTCTAAATTATATCCAGGGCAAGTGTTCCTACACATATGACTATAAATTTGGGTGTCTTGACATGGAAAGTTGACCCTCAGATTATGATTTCAGTTATGTCATTATTAATATTATGTGATTGTTATTGAATCAGTCTTTTTTTTCTTCTTACTTTATCCAGACATGCCTTGAGCTCATGCACAGTGGCATAGCTATGAGCATCCAGGATGGTTACAGCACACTGCTTGGCCCCAACACAGGCTGCACATTCAACGAGTACCAAACTTACGTGCATCTTGTACGTCAAGGCTACATTGTTCTTCGACATTCAAAGTCCATCAAAGCAACTCGCTATGAGCGGCAGATAAGGCTTCACCAGTACAGTGTGGGACAAAAGCAACATAAGACAAAGGAAAATGCTTCAGTGCAGGAAATATTAATTGAAGATGGTGAAATAGATACCAAGGAAAATACTGGGGTTATAAAATCACCTTTGGGTAGTGACAGCATACAAAATAATATGAAAATAGAGGAGCAGGAAATTATTGATCTGGAGACTGTAGAAACTGCGAATATAAATGATGACAAAGCACCTTTCAGAGACATTATAGAAATGAATGGTCTTTCTGAAACAAGTCAGTCTTTAGAACAGTTTATTTCTAGAAGGAAGTCTTCGAAATGTGATGATATAAAGAGTACTTCTGCTGTATTCGATAAGACTGTGAGATCAGAAGCTGTGGGGATTAATGTCGGTAGTGTAACTGAAAATGAAGGTGGAGAAGAGGCACTTAAAGATGAAACATTAGTACAAGAAAAGGACTTGAAGAGACAGTGTGTTCCAGGATTAAATAACAATTGCAAGACTGATCTTGAACTCATAACATCTGTGCATGAGCCAAAATCTGGAGAAAATGAAAAGCGTGTTGATGGAGAAAGAGGTTCTAGTCCCAAATTGCACAGCAAAATCCATGGTGTAAGTGGTGAGACGGGCGAGAGAGAAGCTGTCTGTGGCGTAACTAAAGAGTCCTGTGGGATTATGGCTGTCAGTGATGAAACTGTGACAGTAAGCAATTTAGAAGGCCCTGAGAGTGACATTCACCCGCAATATGAACAGGGTTCAAAAGACATTGATGTTGTAAATGAAATCCCATTGTCACACATGACTGTAAGCAAGTGTGATAGTTCTGTATCAGAATCATTTAAAGTATTAGAATCAACATCAGGTAAGATGGCTGATGTTACAATTGTAGATGATAGTTCCACTTCAGTGGGTGTTGGTCAGAAAGAACATTCTTCTGAAATAGAGATACAGCAAATAGAACATGAAGGTGAGAACAAGCAAAAACAGTTCGTGGGTGATCGGAACGTAACGCAGAAACCTGAGAAAGTATTCGTAGATTGGAACGAAGTTGTAGACGTCAGTGACAGTAGTCAGACATCACACCCAGAGATAAAAATCGAATCTTCATCTAATATCAGAACACGTGATATTCAGAACAAAACTTTATTAGAAAATAATGATGAAATTGAAATAGTCAATATAGTTGATGGCAAGAGTGATGTAGATAATGAAATTGTTGAGGTAAACGGTGAACAAATTCCTTCAACATCTGGGGTTGGATGCACTTCAAAATCTAGGCGGAGAAGGTCATATCAAAACCGTATGCGAAGGAATGCTGTGAAAAATGAAATACAACTGTTAGAAAAGAATACAATTGCAGTAAAACCAGATGTTGTCGATGCTGAAAATGACACTGTGGCTAATGTTAGACTGTTATCTATGCAGAATTCGAATCTTGGTCATAGCCGCAGACATCTCTCAAAAGATATTACCTGTCTTGGCAAGAAGAAAGTAACAAGCATTCAGTTGGAACATGATGAGAGAAAGATTACACCCAGTATCATAGACATTTCAGAAGAGCAGGGGAAGCTTGAAATTCCGGTAGTGGATCTGGAAGATGAAGATGTAAGACCAGAGCTCTCATGGGAGGAAGAGAGAATGAAAATTCTGGATTCTATCCCTAGTATGGATGGAAAGGTTATTATACATGTGAGCGTGCCTGATAAGAGTCTTCTACCACCAAATATTTGTCCCCAGAATAAAGACTATTATATTCAAAAATATCGTCTTAGTTCACCAGGAATTGGTGGAAAGCCGATAGCTGATTTGCCAGATGACAGGGCTCATGAGCGGTCTCCCCAGACTGATGGACAGATAAACCCTTGGATTCAAAATTCTACCTACAATTTTGGTGGTGGTGGTGGTGGTGGTAACATGTTTGGTGCAGCTGGTTTGTGGAGTAATAGTACCTTTCCTATGGCAGGTCACTTTGTGAACCAACATTATCAAACTCCATTCCCTGGAAGATTTGAATTTCAGGCTGTATTGCATCAGGCTGTTGCTATGTTGTCAGCACTTAGTAACCCTGCTTTACAATACAATCGAATGTTTGGTATGCCTGCTCTGGCACCCATGCCTCAGCATTCAAGGATTCCATATGGTCATCGTCCGTTGTGGCATTATCAAACTAGACCATATTATCATCGACCATACTACAAAAGGAGAGGTCGGAGATTTGAAACACAGTACTATAGGACACCTGTGAAACTTGGGAGACATTTTGAAAACCAAGGCAACAGTAGCAGTGACATAATTCCATTTCGTGTTGATGAAGTCAGAGAACCAGCACAGAGAGCACCCTCTAGAAATGAAGTTGGCAACAGTGACGATGACGATGACGATGACGATGATGATGATGTGATTGAATGTGTGTCAGTATCTTCTCCAGTGAAAGTAGAAAATGAATCAATGGATTGGAAGTCAGATGAAGGGCAAAGTCATGACAGTAATAAAAATGGAATTGATAGACCTAATGTTGGTACACCTCAGAAACGGAAGGTATCAAAGAATGCAAAGGATTCTGAACCCCCAAAGAAATTACGAATGTTTATTGAGAAGGAAGAGGAAAGAATGAAAGATGTTTTGAAGGCTGAAGTTCAGAAAGAACCCCACCAAGAGGTACTGCAGCAGGAAGATATGGCAGCTACTGATGTCAAGAGCTGGAGGGACTTCAAAACTGTTATGCAAGTTGTGGTCCTAGACTCAAGTAGTGAGGATGAAGATGATGTTCATATAATTGTTGATGATACTCAGGGACCAGAAATGGAAATTAATGAGCCTTTGGTTCAACCAGAGGATTGCAGAGATATAGGTATTTCTGACTCATTTCTCTCTCAGCGTTCATGTTGTGTGAATTGCATGATGGTAATACTTTGGGTTTTGTAATAACCAAAGATCATATACCATACATACCCAACTATTAGACAGGGGTTTTCTTCTTATATTTTTATTAAAAATAGGAGGAGGCCGTTTTATGTTCATGAATACGTGAAAATGAATAAAACAAATATCATTCAATGATTTTCCACAAAAGGAGATATTTGGCAATTATGGCATATCTTGAAAACTGACCTGTAGAGTACTGTATTGATACTAAGAATTTCAAAAGTAGTAATTGTTAGTTTCAGTACTGTTACCAGGGTTTGGGGATGGCGAGATGTGGGGCAGGGCAGTAACAAATGTGGAGCCACCACCCCACTCTGAAAACCATATAAATGTATGAATATGTATTTAATAAATATTTTAAGATGTCTGATTTTATATCATTAAAAGTAATTTAAAATTATATAATAGGGATGATCTACAGTGTTCTACAATTTACATATTATTTATATTTGTGTGAAATTGACATGTAAAATATTATCTAAATTGAAATCGAAATGGATTTCAATTATTAAAAAATGCTTTCCGAGCTTTATATATTTATTTTTATGTAAATTAACTGTCTATGCAATGTCAAAATTCATATGAAGAATGGATAGCCCATTTAGCTTTCTTTGGGTGTTCTCTGTGGTTTTAGTCCCAAAGTGAACTATACTGACCGAGCAACTGCCACTTGTCAGCGAAGTTGGTGCCAAATTTAGTGGATAGAGGGTGTGTGATCAGCGCAATGAATCCCCATGGCCATTAATTTCTGTTTTCTAGATCGGAGCTGCAGTTTCCTTGAAATAGCTCCTGAATTATCCTTTGCTCATTATAGATTGGATGAAATTCTTCAGTGGGTAGACTAAACAAAATCAAAGTGCTGCACATAAATTTGGAAATAGTTAAATTCATATCCAAAATATTCTATAGCAGACTGACTGGAATACTGAAGTTCATTCTGTAGATTTTCCATAAAGATAAGTCCATGTATATTTCATTTGAAATTTCCTTAGCATCCTTCTGCTGTAACTTATGCACTGAGGCTTTGACATTTTAATCAGTCAAATACTCAAAAGTCCAGTCAAGAAAACCGAGATCAACAGCCGTGTGGATCCGTTGCACTGACCACACGACCCCGTCTATCCGCTAAAGTTGGTACTAACTTCGCTGACAAGCGGTGGTTACTCGGTCAGTATAGTTCACTTGCGTACCACAGGCCACGGAGTTTAAATACTCAAAAGTCCAAAAGGACTCCAAAAAGTTACAAATTTTGTGCATCGATTCAAGACACTGCAAATCCAGATACTACTGAATCAACAATTAAAAAGGAAAAAACGTTCATTCTGTAATGATTATCAGTGTCAGCTTGTGTTTTAACACTGTGGGTTGTTTGATATTCTGTTGGAATTATTGCATCACTTGCATAGTCTTTTGATTTTGAAAATATTTTCTCCCATTCCTTGCAGACTTGTTGAATGTCCAGAATAAGATTTTCTGTGTTTTTCATCTCAGCATCTACAATCACCTTGCAAGCTGTGATTGGTAAACTTGTTTGTTGCAGTGACAGTAAAATATCAACCCATTTCATTGGTAAAAACTGCATTAGAATGTTTCCAAATATTCCTCAGTATAATGTAGTTTTTTATTTGCATATGGTTGGTTTAGAATACTTGTTTCTTGCATAGCAGTGTGAATAGTTGATAAACGTTTCACACCGGTTTTCACTGCGGTGATTTCTTCCGACTGTCTTGTTTTCGATATGGTATGAAGTGAAACAGGAATATATTTCTTCAAAGACTCCCATCTCCATGGACTGCTGCTAAAGAAATTATACATTGCTGAATTCTACTGATAATTGTCTTGCATGATTCAACACTTACAACTTGTACAGGATTCAGTGCATGGTTTCCACAGCTACAAAAATGCAGTTAGGATTATATTAATGCAAAATGGCTTGTATACATTTATGTTGTTTTGTTGTATTGACACCATTATCATAAGCTTGACCAATACATAAGTTTAAATCTAATTCAGAATTTTCTAGATCTAGTATTCATAAAGCAGTTACTTGTCCAATTTTTCTGTCTTTTCATTCTTGCCTGCTGTGTATTAATTGATTATTGCAGTATATTACCAAAGGTGCAAAAATATCCTTTCAGTTTTACATGTAATTCCAGGTTTAATCTTGAAGAAGCTGCAGATAATTAAGTCCATGAATTTAGAGCAAGAGAGACAGTGTGATAAAACTGAAAGACTGAAGATTAGTTTTGACCTGTACCTGCCCAGTGCAACATTCCGCAAAGCTAGTCCAGGCCTTCCTAACTACAGGATCACCATTGTTGGGTATTCATGAATCCATAGTTAATTTTTGCATTGCTTTAAGATTTGAGAATAATAAAATCACTTTCTGGAATCCATGTAATTGCTTGTTAAATTGATTTTTTTTCTTTCTCTTGCTAGGATCCTATTCCTGTTCCCATAGGGCTACTAATAACACAGTATTCTTCTAATGTCATTGACTGTACTACAGCTTCTGTATTGTAATAAAATACTATTGTAGGATGCTTACTGTTTTACATGTTTACAAGTTTTAAAACAATCAAATCTTGCCACTATTCACAGTGTGTAATGTTCCATGGTAGTTCTTACTTTAAACTTGTCTTGCATGTTCATGTATCCATGCCCATTGAAGTCCTTTCACCACCATTAAAAACCTCTGTAATTTCCCCACCTTGTATACTGCCAGTAACTTGCCTCAATGTAAAAAGTTGATGCCACGAGCTGTTTTATGAGATAAGACAAGGGCAAGAACTAAAAATTCATCAGGGATCAGTATGAGATATATAATTTGTTTACATTAATGCATATAAATGCCACTCTCAGGAATGTAAGATTGACATTAAAGAGCTTTAGGTTTGCATATCAGTTCCCTTCTTTAGCTTCAGATGTTTTGGGTAGACATGTATGAGCCTAAAATTTTTTAATCTGAATTGAGAAAGTACATCTTAATCTCGATTCAGACATTGATTTTATAGCCTCATACTTCAGGATTTTGAGATCGTTGCTTTTGCATTGTGTACTAGCCTGCAGACTACTGAAACCATTTGGAAATGTCAACTTGTCAAGAGTACCTTTCTTTTTCCACTTTCTTTTGTTGGTGAAAAAAGGCATTGTCCTTGAACTTGGTTTTTATGTACAATGCTTTATGAAAAATTTTTATTAAAAAGGAATCTGATATGCAAATGGATAAGTAGTGCTCTTTTAGTGCATTGTGAAAATGTGGCTTATGTTATAAATTGTAATTGCAGTGAAAAAATTTGTAAAATTGTCCCTATGCTTAACTAATTAAACATTTTTCCATGAAGACGTATGGGGGAGTGTATGTATTCTTAATCTTAGCACTAGTTGGAGGTTAATAGTCATCTTCACACCCTGGCTGCTTTATCCTATGGGAAAGAGCCCCCATTACCCATTGAATAGGAGGCTGGGTGGCCCCCAGAATTGGTCTGAAAGATGTAGAGGAGAAAAATCTTACCCCTACTGGGACTTGAGTTCTGACCCCTCAACCATCCAGTCTGTAGCCAGCCTCCTGCTCTGTTCTGGTGAGGAAATTTGTACGCTAAAGAAAATTTTCATTCCCATCTCAAACTGAAAAGGCATTCTTGCACATACATGGTTTAGTAGTTGGAATCACATGACATTCCTTCCCACTTTTGACAAATTGTACTCTTATTAGATGTCATCAGATGTTACATAGAGTTTTGCAGTATTTAAATTGTCCTTCCATAGTAACCACAATTATCTAAAATTTAAACATGTGGTTTAATTATGAATACATACATTGAACATTTAATACAGAAAAGAGATACACTACAAGACTTGAAATGAACATACAGTAGATGAAATTGTGAAGATATTATCAGAGGGTAAGGTGAGGTCCCCGTGCTTAACTAAGTAAGCACTACGCCATGAAGGCATATGGGGGATTCGATATATTGTCAGAGGATATACAAAATTTACTACCAAGTGCTGTTTCACATTCAGATAACACGAGTTCATTATCACCTGTTTGCTTAGTTACTCACTCACTCACTCACTCCTTGTACAGCCATCCTCTGAGAAGCTTGGCCCCCTGTGACGTCTCCATTCTTCTTTCATCTTACATCCGTCATACAATTTTTTTTTTCTGAGATGAGGTTGTTAGCATCATGCCCAACCCCCAGTCTGTAGGACACCAGGGGCTACCTCTCATCTGGCCACTACCCGTTGACCTGTGTAGCATGGGTGGCCCTTTTGGAAGCCTACACTCCTGCTAGGATAGTTGTCCAGATAATCAGGGAATACAGTCCTCCTCCACCACATTAAAATAATAGCCCAGTTCATTATACAAAAATGAAATTTATACAAGTGTCAGTCATACTGTAATGGCTATTAGAGTTTCTCCATTCACATGTGGGGTTTATTTTCTTTGTATGTTTCTGTAAGATCCTATCGGTGTTCATAATCTTCCACATTTCTGTATCAACCTTCAGACTGTCTTCATTAATTCATAATGAAAATGTTTATTTATTTCAGGTGTGAGGATCCTATGCCTGAACCAAAAGAAGTGGCTGCACTCCTGAAAGACTTTGAAGATGATGTGCCTCTGCTGTTTGCTATTGTCCTCCCAAACACAGTGACGTTCCTGCAGTTTGGAAGTGTTACGCTACCTGTCGAGACATTTTGTCCGTAATGTTTATACATGTTTTTGATTATAATATGCTACATAAGAATTTAGGTCTTAATATTTATTTTGTATATTTATGCAAGATATCTTAAAATTTTGCTGTGAAGTTTTATATTCTAATCTTATGAAGTCCTACCATAGGTCTACTGCCACAGCCATATTTTAAGTTCATTTAAAAGCCACTAGCTGGATGTCAGTAATTGAATTTTTTTTAACATGAAGCCCCCAGACACGATTTCTCCTAAAGCCCTCATTCACAGTTGATTATGTTTTGCATATAGTAAAGAAAATAACCCAATTGTCGATGTGGTTTAGTTAACAGGTGCCTGGCATTGGATGTAATCTTATGTAATATAATGGTAACAGTGTTTTGAAGTTACATAGTTAGCAGAAAGTCAGCTAAAGAGAACGTGAAAGAATTTGGCTGTTCTGAGAGAGGTACTGATTGTGAATCTTAAAACAAATCATGGGATAGCCACCAGTGATATAACATTACAATCATACCAATTTTAATTATAATTCTTCATGAACGTATTATTTTCTGTGAGTCATTTGTGTCACCATTTTTCAATGTATTTATTAGCATTATAATTATTAGCGAATACCAGATATGATATATAAATATACATTTAGTTTTTCTTACATAATTTTTATACTAAGCTTTTTCGTTAGTTTCATGAAAATGTATATACAAATTTTGTTCCTACCTCCTAGATAACATCCTGCATACCTGTTACTAATATCAAGAGTTCAGAATGCTAGTGTGTTATGGTTTATGATGACTGCATGTGTGATGAACTTTAGAGGGCTGTGAAGTGGTTATGGATTATGTAAAGATACTGATGAAATTGAGGAAAACCACACAAGAAGACACAATAGTCAGAATAATAGAGATCTGTAACAAACATGGTTCAGTATGCATTACACCTTGAGTTTAGCAGATACATTTCTAAATAGCAATTTGAGCTTCATCAGAATTAGTATCAGGTACTAATGCATGAGCATGTATTGAGCATTTCATTAACTTGGTAAGGTAAAGTTGTCCCTGTGCTTAACTAATTAAGCACTACACAATTAAAGGCATATGGGGAGTGGATGTATAGATCCACATTTTCTGGAGGTTAGTGGTCAGCTTCACACCCCGGCTGCTTTGCACCTGGTACCCATTGGAAAGGAGATTGGATGAGCCCCAGAACCAGTCTGGATGATGTGGAGAAGAGAAAATTCTTGATCCTACTGGGACTCAAACTGCACCCACTGTCCAGCTGGTAGCCAGTCACTATACCGACTGTGCATATATTTTAAATGTGATCATGATTTCTTAGAAGAGTTTGGTCTTCTGAGTTATAATGCTGTAATGCCTAGTGTTTCAGAGGAAGATACCTCCTCCACCATTAGGACTGAAGAGTAAGCCAAGCAAGAAGCTGACAGTTGTTGACCATGAAGATGGAGATGTATGCTCCTGTGAAATGTTAGGCTTTTTCTAAATTGCACAGTAATACAACACAGAAGACCATCTGAACATACTCTTCATCATCACTTCTGTTATAATCTCAAATCCAACATGATTATTTTTTTATTATTATTATTTTGCAGTAATGTTTACACTTAATAACAAGTCTCTGAGCATTATTTTAAATTCCACCTGACATATATAGCAAATTATGTGTATGTGAAATTCCAAAAACCATAACCATTCATAACCAGTCTCATGTTTGATGATTATAAATGAAAACATGAATTCCATAATTACTGTAAGGATGCTACAAGCCGGAAGGTCGCGGGTTCAAGTCCTGATGAGGTCATTGAATTTTTTTCAATTGACCTAATCCTTCCAGCCGCACTAGGCCCTTGGGTTTACTGAGCTTCTAACAGAAATGAGTACCAGGAATTAATTAAATAATTTTCCTGGGGTGTAAAGCATGGCCGGCACGTAGGGCTGACAACTTTACCGCCATCTTTGACCCGATTGTCTAGATAATGTGGGACCCTCAACGTCTCACAACCCTATGGGCCTTCATGGCCTGGTACAGGGATAGCTTTACTTTCTTAATTATTCATTCATACGTGCCCAAATAACTTTTGTTATAAATCTACATGGCAACAAGATTTGGATTGTGTGTTATGTACATGCATTTTGATTATACAATTCTATTTTAAAGTGGCTATGTATAGAGCAGTAGGTGATTGAGGGAGTGCACAAGGAGGAATGTGTTACAAATACTGTGTAAAGTCCAGCACTTCAAATGTTGGTTATAATTTTAATTCAGAGACTTTTAGTTTCTAATAATACTATCAATGGAAATATTTCATTGTTCATGATTTTATTTGTGTATACTTGAATTCAGTATTTAGCATAGAAGTGAAGCATCATTGTACATACAGCCAAACACTAATTGCTGCAGAATTGGTGCTACTTATAAAATAAATGAACATTTGTTTCCCAGAATGTTATTTACAACTGCTGCATTCCAGTACTCTGCAACAGAAACTAAGAAGCTGGTACGGTCATTTGGGGGGGGAGGGGGATATATATATAAAAAAGGGAAGATGGAGGTGACATGTTCCTCCGAAACATTGGTAGACTTTCAGTGGATTACATATTGTTATATCCCAGAAGAAACTAGTCTTAATATCTGATACTTTCTGTAACATAATGGTTTTCATATGTTATTGTGGTGGTTATATCACCAGAGCAATACAAAAACACAATTTTACTGCATGACTTTTATCACATATTCCACTTATTAATTTATGGTTTATTTAATGATTCTTTCAGTAACTCACATTATACAGTGTTGAATTCCACTTACAACATAGCATATGCAGAAGAGCTTTTTATAACACTCTGATATTTGTAAGGAAAAAGAAAAGTATTAATAGAACTATTTTGTAAGTGTCGAGATTGCAGACCAGATATCCCTGGTTAAGAACTAACATGATGTTATGCAAGTTACATCCACCATACAGTTCCCAAAAGTATTTAATGTTTATACAGTTATCATATACAAATTATAAGTGTCAAGGCCTGCATATCTATAATATACGATGTATATGTGCATATAATTACTGCATCACAAGGAACTTCAAAACACTGTGAGGGATGCAACATATGAGTATCTAATTACAAAATGTACAAAAAAAAAATTTAAAATACCCAGGCCTATACCTTATAAGTACAATAGATTTTATGTCAAACTGACAATAGACATATCCTAATCTTTAACATCATGGCTCAATGATTTCACAATGGACAGCTATTAAAAATCAATAACATTGTTTTCAGTATTTCTCACTTTGAAGTGATCTCAACTTTAATGGTATTCACTTTTCCACTACAATAGATAAATACAAAGTAAGGAACTTCTTCTGATCTTTAAGTTCTATATTTAATATATTCACTAGAACATCAATGAAAGTCATATAAAGGTTTATTGCTTCAGGCTACAATACTGAACTTCGAAACAAAACCCTTCACATTGTTCTCTTTTCACAATAGGATTGCATAATTCAAGTTACATGGAACTAAGAAGCTGTAATGTCACATCTGGTAATAAAATGGTAATTACTGCCTATGCATCAACTAGGTAAGAGTTTGATTGAGCAACTATGCACAGCTGAGCTCAAGCTGTTTCCTACACATATATAGAAATTAAATTAATAGAAAGGAAGATGCAATGAGTATTAACAGTAACCTGACCTACACATCTGTCAAATCAAGTTTATAACTTACTTAAAAGATGAGCATAATCCTATGCCAAAAACTGTACATTTTCTAATTTAGTAATAATTTTGTGCACTCTGCTTTAGCCTGGGGACTGGGATAGCTTGGTTAGTATAGCATTGTGCTACTGGCTGGGCAGTCGAGGAACTGGGGTTTTATTCCTGGTAAAGTCAAGAGATTCATCTTCTCCAGTGTCCAGACTAGCTCTGAGCACACCTAACCTTCTGTCAAATGAGTATGGGGGGGCTCTTTCCCTGTGGGTAAATGGCTGGGATATGAAACTGAATGCTGACCCCAATCTAGTGCTAAGGTTAAGAAAGTGTGGAGCTACACCTCTGTTCCACATACATCTCCATGGCATGGTGCTGAATTAAGCACAGGAACTTTATTTACTTTAACTCACGATAATGCAGTTTTCCTTTTCTTTGACTCCAGATCTTTTATTCTGTCTAATAATTTCCTGCGGCCTATTTATCCACACTAAAGCTTTCCAAAGCCAAAAACATATTTGTGATTTTAATCTCATAAACATTCCCTAACATCCACACTGTTCAGTTTATTCCCATGTCAAACTTCTACTTTTTTTTTTTTTCATTTCATGCATCCTGTTGTGTTATAATATATAACTTCTTTATTAAGACCATCACAACACAACTATATCAAGGTCAGTGCCTGATTTTGGCATAACATAATAGATACGTTGATGATATTTTAATTTATAATTCCCATATAACTAACACTGAAAATACTTTGTATGAATTCAACAATATCCACCCTAATATCAAATTTACAATAGAAAAATAAATAAATAATAAGATCAATTTCTTAGATTTATCCATTGAGAGAAAACATGAAAACCTACAACTGCTGATCTAATCATCCACAGTGATTCATGTCACCCATTTGAACACAAAAGCTGCTATAAACTTTCTCATTAATCGACTGAATCAATATCCCCTTTCACATAACAATAAAACATAGAAGAAAACATTGTTAGAACTATTCTAAATAATTAATAACTACCCACTAAATACCATACAGCTAACACAAAAACCCTCCACAAAGATACTATGCACAAAAAGAAATGGACCACCTTTACCTATTTCGGCCATGAAATTACTAAACTTTTCAAGAATACTGAAGTTGGTATCTCATACAAGACAAAAAAAAATCTGTTAAAAATAAATGATGTCAAAAATTATATGTATAATCTTAGTGGGGTTTACCAACTACAATGTGCTCACTGTCCATTAAAATATATAGGACAGACCAGACATACCTTCAAGGTCAGATTCAGAGAACACATACGAGATATAAAAAATAACGGACAAAGCTCCAAATTTGCTCAACATATATTGGACACCACACATGAATATAGTACGATAGACAAAACATTAGAAGTTCTATATATCGGCAAGAAAGAACAAACCAAGGATACACACGAAAGATTTCACATTTACGAAATCTGCAAACAAAACTTGCAACTGAATGATAATTTTACCGAAATGTTTAACCCTATATATGATGTAATCATTGATACATACAAAACATAATATACAGTCATACCCCCCTTTCCCCCCTACACCTTATCTCTACCTTCCCACTCCCTCCCTTGCATTGACTTTAATCTTACATCACCAAATCAGTCGCTGTAAGATTTAAGGTCTTCACGGCGGTGACTATGAAGAAAGCAGTCTTCTGGGATGTGGCACCATGTAGATGTGAACAGATATGGGGGGGGGGTTGTCTCAGAAAGTCATGGAGGCCTCTCATCTGTTCCCTAAAAAAACCCCTGAGACATGATGCCAGACCCACAAGGCTACACAGGCCATGACTGACTAACATAGCAACCCCCTACCCCCCCAGCTTAAGGGTTAGTGCCCTCCCTTTAACCTTGCTTTTCTCTCCCCCGATACAATATCATATACAAAACCCTGCTTCTGTCCCAGCCCCTTCCCCCCTCCTACTCCACTGATTTCCCATGTAGACTTTCCCCCCCCCCCTTCCTTCACTGCTCTCACATTGCTGTGTTTATTTCCAACACCAGTCTGCTTGTACTGGCTCTCACGGTCTCTTTGCTTGTGGATTTTCTTATTTTCCCTTTACCTTGAAGATGGAGGCGATACATTCCTCCGAAACGTTGGTTAACACCACATCTACACGGTGCCACATCCCAGAAGACTGCTTTCTTCAAATCAGTCGTTTACATTCCCTATAGAATGGACAGTACTTTGTAAGATGAGGCAGCAATTAAATAGGAGTAAGTAATAATACGCTATATCTTCAATACCAAAATCAATTGTTGATTATAACAAAATTTAATACTATTACTTTCATATCACTTTCAGATTAACATTAATATTATTACATCTATG